AGCGCCAGCCGGAACTGAAAAATTGGTTTCAAAAAAAAAAAAAAAAAAAAAAAAAAAAAGAAGTGTAGTGACCCAAACTGAGTACAGTGACGTGCTGGATGTTGTATCTTCAAGAGAGATGTTTTGCTATGGGAGAGCAGAGTCTGAGGAAAACAAACCCTCCTAAATTAATCCCTGCAAAAGGCCCAAAATTAAAGAAAGGAGAATTAATTCAGCTCTTTTCCAGGGCTTTCAGGGAATCAATGAAGGTGGATCAGTTTTTCAATCGGCACCCTGCGCACTTTACCCCAAAGAGGAAATCTACGGCATTAAGGTCAGTGGGCACGGCCACGCTCATTTTGGACAGCTGCTGATTCCTGCCTGCCAGCTTCACGGCAGGGGCAATTTTGCAGCTTTTCTTTTGTAATCTGGTATAAAAGGCTCCTTTATCAACGCAGGCCGTAACGTATCAAGCAGCCACAGAACCACCCTGGAAACTCCAGCCTCGTATCTGCTACACCGAGCGCTGGGGCAGACACGTCTAGAAGACATGGAGGCATCCTCAGGGGCAGGAAAACAACCCTCCGCTCCGGGATGTACGGCCAGGTGAGCGTGCCTGCGTATGCCAGGAGTGGGGGAAAGCTTTGCACGTGGTCTTACAGACAAGACACACAACCTCCCACCTTGGGGGATCTTTTCCGCTCCTTTCTGCCTCTACCGAATTCCATCAAGATGTTGTGGTTGCTCGTTAAAAGAAATGAACGGGGGTGCATGCAGCAAGCTTCAGGTGGCAGCAATGCAGAGAGAAAAACAAAATGTTGTAACAGATGAGTATGTCCCACCTTCCCAGTCTCTGCTGGGCATGGTCTGCATTGCTGGAAAGACATCTCCAAAATCATAATCTACAAAAACGAGGGATAAAACTCAGGATTAGAAATACAAGTAATGGGGAGGGAGGGGGGACAGGGGAGAGTGTGAAGGGGATTTGGGGATGGAGATGGGAAAGGAGAGAAACAAAACCAGTCTTGCACTGGTATCTGAAACACATGAGAAAATACTTGGGGAACATGGATGCAAATGGAAACCAGCTGCACTAACGGTTGTTCCTGCTGGATGTTTGCGTTACAAGAGCTACAACGGGACCAGGGAAGGATGAAGGCCCCATTATGAAAGCTGATGGAAAGTTAAACCAGAAGAACGGTCGGTGTCATCCAGGGCTTGTGTACCTCATCAGGGAGCCCCTCTTGGAAGCAATTTAATCGCTCTGTGCCTCAGTTTCCCCACTTCACACTTACCTCTCATAGATACTGTGATGTTTGTGTCATTAATGTTTGCAAAGCCAGGGGTCTGATTAAAGGGAAAAACTTGTCCTCTGATCCTAAAATCCCCAGCTCCACCTACACTCCTAGGGTAGTGAGATGCTCCTGTGGAAATGACGAGCAGTAAAATAGTTATTGAAGTTAAATTCCTCCATGCCAGAGGAGCAGCAGCAATTCCTGCCCTCCAGGGCTTCCGACTCCTCCACTGTCCTGGTCCCACAACAGGGGACGGCATTTCTACATGAGCACCAAACCCTCCACACATGGGGAAACTGAGACACGGATCACAACCGCTGCCCTGACACAGAGGATAGCTTATGATGACGCTAAAATAAAAATCCAGCTCCAAAATCCCCTGGATCTCTACTCCAAACCCGTTTTCTCTTGAGCATTAAGCTTCCATCCACCAGACGGGCTGAGGAACGTAGCCAAACCCAAGTGACACCCCTTTGTCAGGGTCAATAGGGACCGGTAGGAGATGCACTGGCACCAAGACATATTCTGCTGAGGGAGGAACAGGAATACAAGCCCAGGGGGTGCAGCATGCACTGAAACGGCTGGTTATGCCAAACCTCTGGGGACAGAAACTTCTTCCTGTGACTTTTACTGCCAGGCTCCTCGTGCTCCCTCCATCTTACCTGGATGCTGGAGGTTTGGCATAAGGAAGTCCCCAAAAGCAAACCATTTCATGCTTACAGCACAAGTGCAGATGTTGTGGGTGAGCCCAAAACAGTGCTGTGCTTCAAAACCCTTTGCCAAAATGATGCTAACGCCCATCCCCACGTCTGCATCTTGCTTCCGTGTTCCATCTTTAATGTCTGCAGTTTTTGTCTTGCACATTGGCAGACCCTTGTCTCAGGGGGAACCCATCCATACGCAGACTTGGTCCTGAATTCACTGCATCCAATTCACGGCACACATCACCCCATGTACTCCAGAATCCCCTAATCTCGCTTTGTTCAAACTGACATCAAAAAAGGGACAGGGCCAACGTATTTTGGATTAGGAACAAGAGCAGCAGCAGAGCTGCTCCTTCATGTGAACATGATTCATGCAGCAGAAGAGCTCCCTGCTCCAGCCTGAAGCAGGTTAAGGGGGCAGGAAAAAGGTACGTGTCTTCTCAGTTCATCAGGAACACCACCCAGCGCTCCCTGATAGGGATAAGGGGGTGAGTATGACAACTTACCAGGCTGCTCAAGTTAAGATGCATGAAGAGGTAAAAAAAGCACCTCTGAGACCACTGGCTGCCTTTCCCTTAGACTGCAGACACGGAGAAAAAACTGGAAACTATTCCCCACCACCTCCAGCGTATTTGGGTCTCTGGACTGCAAAACAAGCAGCTAAAAAAGGTTCTCTGCAGCCCTGGAAGCCATGTTCAGACACAGACAAGATTTTCACTCCATAAAGAGATTTCTCCAGTTCTTGCCAAAATATACCCCCCAGGATGGAAACGTGGCCTGAGGTGAGAGCATGGGAAGTCCTTCTCTCCCGGTCCGAGGCAAAGGGCTGTCCACAGCTTAAACCCCAGCACCTCCCAATGCAAGATGGGAGAGATTCACAGCCTAACTGCTGGGTCTCTCGCTTTGGTCTCTTCCAGCCCATCATTTGCTCTCTCATTCAGCGTCTTGTCTGGTGCAGCAGCTCAGCCAAAGGAGGTGTGGGAGCACACAGCCCTGACTGCACCCGTCTCCGAAAAATCACTGACCTTCACTGGATGGAGCGATGGCGCTGTCGTCCCATTCCAGGTTGGTGGAGGTGACAGAGTTGAAAGAGTTGAGGGACAGGCTGTCTGAGCCATGCATGGAGCTGGGCAGGCGGTCCTCAAAATCTAGCAGGTACTGAGGTTTGTAGTAATCTGGCATGTATGGGGCCAGATCCAGGTAAGGAGCATCCTGCAGAGAAGAGAGCGTGGGGTGAGTCAGGCGCCGAGCCAACACACAGTATTAGCACTGTCGAAACGATGGGGCTGTCCTTGAACATCCTCTGGCTGCCCATTTCTGCTGCCTTTCAGAGGAAACCCAGCGGCTCCACTGCAACACCAAGGGCTAGCCAGCAGCTTTGTCTTTACCTGGAGGGACGCCAGCATTTCGTACCATGCTTGCAGAGCTCAACTCCTTTATCCCCATCAATCTGCCCTGCAGCTGGCTTCCCCACACCTGCCTCATTCCTCTTCTGAACAGTGCAGAGGAATAACGGAGCAATAGGAATAAATCCTGTTGCTGGATCTCCAAAGACACCAGCCTAGAGCCTTTCCTAAAAGTGGCAGCTTCATGTTTTCAGCAGAAGACCAACAAGAAGGTACACCCTGGACTGCGCGGTGGGACCTGTGACAGCCAGGACTCCCCCTGCTCCACATACCCGTTCTCCCAGAGCCCAGACAAACAGATAAAACACTCACCAAATCCAAGTCAAAGCGGATGAACTCCAGCCCGGACACCAGTGTTAAGAACAAGGTCAGATGATCATGACTGCAAACCAGGGCAT